CGGGGGAAAGCCCGCACCCGCGGGACACGGCGCTGCCGGGCAGGAGCTGCCTGAAAATTCCCCGGAGAAGGCTGGGCCCGGCGCCCCTCCGGGCGGCCCTATGCTCGTGCTTTCGCCTGCAGAAATAACCGCCCCGCAGTTTCTCGTCTCCCCAGATCTCCTCCGGCTCACCCCCAGCCGCTCCTGCCCGCCGCGCTTCTGCGACATCGGCTTTCACAGGCGGCGTGAGCTCCCGCGAAGTGACAGCCGGCCCAGCCGGGGTTCATGGGCGTGAGGACACGGCGTCGGGGCTGGGATAAAGCGATTTTCACTTTCGCTACTCGCCCTGTTCCTTTAAATAATAAGGAAATGCCACAGGCTTCTTGTAAAGGCGAAGCCAGACAGGGGCTGCTGAAAAGACAGTCACCACAGTCAAAAATCTGTCTGTTCGACTGTTCTGTCAAGAGTATTTATCAGGCTGAACGATGCTTCTTTTACCCCTCCAAACCCTTGCCTTACATTTTAATCGAACCGTTACCTTGGCCCTCCGCTCGGAAGGGAAGGTGTTTGCACCAACGGGTGCTTCAACAACAGCCTTGCTCTGGCGTAAGATGCGTTCGCGTATGGCACCTAACGTGCGCTCCCGGCTGCGCTCCACTCATGGGTGCAAATGCATGGCCACGTGGGGAGGGTTAAGTGCCCCCAAACTGCAGGGCGGTCAGTCATAAAGCGCCAGGTAAATACATCGGAGACTTCCCCATTTTTCTGGTTTCCCCCGAAGTTTGAGTCATCCAGCTTAGATGAAGGATGAGGTTACAAAGTTTGTAAACTGAGTAAATATAGACTATCCTTTCAGGAAAATCTGGCCGACGGTTCATGCTGAAGGTGAGAGAACCACCCTGCCCGGGAGTCCAAGAGTCAAACCAAAGCCTGTGCTCTGCCACAGGGCTCCTGGTTGGCTCCAGGACCATCAGCGTTACTGAAAAACCTGAGCAGGGCTTCCCCAGTGGGAAGTGCTCCTCCCCAGCTGTTCCACCTCAGAGCAGCTTGCTGCCTCCATCTCCCAGGCTACCCACACCTTTGCTTTTGTGCTTTCACGGAGCTCCTCTGACCCCAGAGGACCGAGCACCTGTGAGCCTTCTCCGCCCTAATGGCCATGGGGACCTGTAACTCAGACGGGCACCCTCGCCAAAGCGCCCTGACCTCACCTGTGTCCCCAGACTGTCCCGGGTCTCCCAAGCATCTCACAGGCTGTTCCCAGACCCCTAGTTTCTTTAAAAGCAGTCTTGCTTCTCCCTTCCTCTGTCATCCAACATGCTGGTGCCAGGATGCTCGCCAAGCGGGTGCTCACGGAGGTGGCAGGTGTGGGTTCAGTGCCGCTCTCCAGCTGAGGGGATCCAAAGCAACATCTGGAAGGCAGACAGGCGGTGAGTCATTAGAGGGTGAGTTGCTCTCATCCGCTTCTTCGAAACAGTCCCACCTTGCATTAGCTACATATCCTGCAGTTAAAGAAAAGGAGTAGAAATACGGGCACAAGCAGAGACTTAGTTGGGACAGTTGCTTAAAAAGAAGAGCGCTGGGCTCCTTGCTGCCTTTGTAGCTAAAGCACAGTTGAAATAAACAGGACCAGAAGCTGGTACTTTCATAAGATCAGGGAACAGGTATATTCTCTTGCAATAAAATCTGTGAACCGTGCGGACGAAATACCTCAACAGCCTTTCAGAGTGATCTGCGGGAGAAAAAAGAAGCCCCCTTCCACAGAGGGACTTTGAACTGACCCCACACAGAGCCCTCATGCTGTTCCAGGAGCAATGCTGCCCTTAATGGCAACTGCACAAGCAAGCATTGGGTCCTGAGCAGCTTACCAAGAATTTATTAGTACGGAATAAATATCTACTCCCTTGAGTAACTCCTGGCAGCTGTAGAGGAAGGTTTCCAGGATCCCACAAGTATGGGACGAGTCACAGGATGGTCCCCTTGAGCCTGAATACAGACTGCTCTTGTTCAAAGTGGCAAAGGAAATGGAAAGTCAAAATTTGCTTGTGGGAACTGATTTCTGCTTAGTATTAAAGCTATCTCTGGTACATCTGTAGAAATGCCTACACAGTAATTCCAGGTAACGCAGCAGTGAAGGCAGAGCGTTTCTATGCAGGAGAGAAAACAAGCCCAGAAAGCAGTCGAGTCAGCTGAGTTTACATTTTATAATGGCGCTTTATCAGTGATTTTTGTCAGCACTGAAGCAGCCTACACACATGCAGACTAGAGTCGCTGAACGCAGCGCAGGGTGGCTCTTCTAAAGAACAGCACGTATCCCAAACTGGGTTTCCGAGCACCAAGCACGCCCAAGCTTCCAAACAGACGTTGGTTGTCCACGTGAAGATTTCTGGAAGGGGAGCTTCCCTGCATGCCGCTTGCCATCCCCTGTAATCCCCTTTGTTCAGAAACTACACGCAGCAAAAGCGTGCATGGATGCTGCTCCAATCTGTGAGTTTTTCTTGGGTAGGGATGGCCTACCCAAGCAATGAGCACACCGCTGACAGTACACACTAACAAACAGCGAGGTGCTCCATCCCACCCCCAAAAGCCAAGAAATTCAAAGTCGGTTTGCAAATGTTCCCAAGCATCCATCACCATTGAGCTGTCTTACAAAATCCAAAGGCTATATAAAGAAAAACTACCAGACATTTCCTGACGCAATACCAATTCACCCCAAGTTAAAAATAAGAAGTTTGGACGTTGTGACATTTCAGTAGAAGCCCGATTAGACGCTTGTCTTGCACAACACTGCTGATTTCTATGAAAAGTTAACTGAAGGACAAAAGCCTACTGGAATGGGAAAAAAATGAAGTATTTCTTATATATCTGCCAGTGGGAAGAGCAGATCCGAGGCATGGCTAGTTGTAGGTATCACTTGCTGTAGGAATTTTAAATAACCATTTGAAAAACAGCTGAACATTCAAGCATTGAGTTTAGCTCATCACAGAACTTGCATTTCAAGGGAGGTCCCCTGACACCTTCCATTGCCGCTTGGCCAGAAGTAGCCGTCAAGAGATCTGTAAAGTCATAGTTTATATGCTGCACTTGGAATCTTGTTTGTTTTCTTCATCCTTCTTTACACTATTTACTTGGCCAGTGTTTCCAGATGCATTTGTTTTTTTTTTTCCACCCAACCGCGATTGAAGCAAGGGCCACGGAACAAGGCCCAACAAGGCCTAGCTCAGGGCATCTACTCCCTCTTCCTTCAAATACCGTGCAGACCAACTATCCTGCAATCTCTAACACGCACTGGAGGGTGAATTCGTTAATTTGCTTATTAAATCTTAATCCCGAGTGCTCCCCCTCCTTATTTCTTAAGGCATTTGTTCTACCTTGGCCATTTTTGATGGGACCTCTTCAAAGAGCTGTGCTGATTCCTAGCTTTTTTCTGTGCTTGCCTATCATTATTCGCAGAGAATAGCAGGCAACCTTCCTATTAACACAGAAAATGCTCCCATACCTTAATGGTAGCCATGCAAGATCTTGCAGGGCTCATCTTAGCCTAGGAACGCTCAGATTAAAAAGAGTATCTGTGGATCTTGGTGAAGAAAACCATGGTGGAGATTTTCAACGGAGCACGCGTACTCAAAGCCACTACAACACCAAGCTGCCGTGTGAAAAACGGTCCCAGTCTCACATTCCACAGCTCCAGTCCCCCTCAGATCCCGTCCTCTCTTACATTGGACGCTTTGTAGGCCTGAGATTAGTAACAGTTGTGAGTTCAAAGGCAGTAAATGGAACAACTTCAGTTACTTGAGCCAAAATTTAACACAGATGTCTTCTGAAGTACACTCACTGTTCAGTCACCATCTATTCCAGGATTAAACTGACATCATTATCTGAAACTTTGATCTTCCTTAATTGATTTAATTTACTTTGTATAAAAACACACATTTGTATATACAAGAGCGGGGGGAAACAAGTATTTACATATGATTAAATATACAAAGTCTCAGTACAGGTGCTCATCTTTACAAAATAAACTATGCTAAAATCTGTCACACATTTTCTTGAAAACTTTCAGCCTCTCGGACGTTAAGTCGGACCCATCTCCTTACCACAGTACATTTCATCAATACAGCTTCTACAAAAACCCTCCATTTACTGTGTCAGAAATACGTCAAGTATTAGATGTATTTGCTGCAAGCACATGCAATCATAAACCAGCAACAGTTATGAATGGGTAAGGCACAATGCTCAATTTAGCACTATCATGCAATCGTCTAGGTACTAATGTGTACAGAAAAAAAAAAAAGTAAGCTAGCTCAACTTAATACCATTTACGGGTAGCCTGCACTGATCTCCCAAGTTTAGTCAAACATCACAAATGCATACGTGACCCAAGTCAAGATCCTGTAATGTGTAGAAATATTGTCCAGGAAACCCCCAGACTGCATAATTGGATTACATGAAATGAAATATCAGATGGTGAGATGTGGATGGTGGAATCCTTGTTCAGAAGGGCATGCTGCAAGTAAATACATACAATTACTAAAAATCCAAGTTTAAACAAACGTGACTATAAATAAGCCCCGCTGACCTAAATTCAGGAAAGGCAGAATAGCAGGGACCAATGTAACATTTGCACGTGCATTTTCTAAAAACTGTAACATCATATCAAATCTGGTGTTTCAATATGCTCCAGTGTGTATTTCTTTTTTTATTAAAAAAAGAAAATAAGCCACCCAATTCAGTAATAAATGAAGGTGCATTAGGAGAGTTAGACATTCTCCAACCTCTTTAGAAACATGCCTAATGTAAATGAACACTTAGTGGTTTACTAAAAGACTGCCCACATACGTAAAGCATGTGTACAAACTCTGAGAAGCATGAGGACTCAAGCTAAATGCTGTAACAAAAGAGCAAAAAAAGAGAGTTAATCAGCAAATATACTTGCTGGATATCGGATGCTACTGGTATGCGTAGGCTTTCATATACCATCAGCGTGACAGTAAAAATAGAAATATTTAAAAGCATCAGAGACTAAATAATTAAGGAGGCTCCCATATATAGATTGAATTAGAGGGGAGACGAAGTTTTAAGAAAAAAAGACTGAGCACACTGAACAAGACTACAACTGAGATTCCAATATGAAAATTCTAAACAAGAAATTCACGTGCTGAGAGCAATCTTCCTCCGTCGAAGTGGGTAGCGTCTTCTTTCTGGTGAATCTGCAGCTTTTTTTCTTTTTAGCAAAATACAAGAATTTTTACTGGTATCGGCATCTGTTGGTGTGACTTCTCCTGGTGATATGAAATTTTGGACATTATTTTCCTCCTTTGCCTTGCAACCAGCAAAGACTTCTTGCCGCAGCTTGCAGAGTTCCAAGGTTGGTTGCCAAGTTAACGCTTGGGAAAAACCTTCCGCTCTTTCTATTAGCACTGGGAGAGACTGCAAAAACAAACCCAAGTATCTCAAGTTACATGGGAAAAGTAATGGTTACAATGAATGAAATATGTTAATTAGATTCTGACAGGCACAAAAGCTTCAGTGTCTACAGAGATGATCCTTAGGATGGCAGGTGAAGGTTGGGAACTCAGAGCTACCAGCCTAACAGTGCCAAGGATCTGCACTCAGAAGCCACGCAAAGAGTATGCCAAATTTAAATATCCCTTCATTACATCTCTAAGTTGAGTAAGAATCACAGGAAGACCACAGTCCACGTCTAGGCTGGTACTGAAGTAATAAATGTCACGTGCCATATGAAGTTGTACAGGTCTTCAAAAGATGCTGCAGGTTCCAAAATCTGTGTAGAAGTATTTCCTATAGCCACAAGGTAATCCTCCTTACTACCACGTGAGGGAGAACGCTTTACAGATACAACTTCAGCAGTCCAAACCTAAAGATGTCCAAACCTAAAGACGTACTTGCTTCAAAAGTACACACGCAGGCTTTTTACGTACAGAACTATAACCAAGATGAGTTAGAACTCCTGTTTCATGACATATTACCAGATGACAAAAACCAACCAAACAAACAAAAAATTCTCTTGGAGCACACAGAGATCTCACCTTCATTGCTCCACTGATCTGTTCGGATGCCTTCTCCATCACCTGCTTCAGATCTGCAATGTAAGCATCTACAGAAAAACATAAAGCCCAAATAAACTTCTGAAACTTAACTCCCTCCCCCAAATACTTGCTATTGACTTCTCAGAAATCAGACAGAAAAGCAGTAGAGTCCTGTATAAAACTTAAACCTATAAACTTCATTATAGCATTGAGGACGACAGCTTGTGTGTTTTCTCTTACTATTACTACCCTTTATCACTCAAAAGGTATAGTGTCTAGCAGTCTCAGCCATAGCAAGGCACAAAGTTCTTCACTAGAAAACCTACAGCTTACGCAAAACATGAGACACAAAGACAGTATTTGCTGTAAAGGAAGAGAAGAGTTATAAAGGAAAAACAAACAAACAAACAGATCTGTTTTCAAACCTTTCAAGCTCATATTACATTTGATAAAAATGCATGACAGAAGGAGAATAAACACAACTGTAGAGAAAATGAGATGAAGGAAACCCATTTTAAGGAGAGGAAAAAAAGTAATCTTAGAGCTCCAACAAGTCAGCTTTTACAATAAAAGCTACATTTTTCTCCTGGCTTAACTTACCAAGCATTAACACCAAGAATAAAAAAGAACCAAGCGTACACAACATAAACTGCATTAATTCTGCTGGGTTAATAAGAAAAGAAAGAAAAAGCTTTCAGGAACACTGAAGCAGGCAGCAGGTGCAGAATACTGGGGGAAAATGGCACGTATTTGATTGCAGTAGCAATATGATAAGATCATCAACACAATACACCTTTTTGGGGATTGATTTACAAGCAACAGTAATTCCTTACTCAAGAGTTAAGCTCTTTAAGTTATTATAAAACTGTTTTGCATGTTCTCCGCCATTATTCTGCCTGCAATGCTATGCCATGAACAAAAACTTGTCAGCAGATAAGCAAGCATGCTCCCGGGAAGCAAGCAGCCTCACCTCCACTACTATTTTTTTTCTGTAGGGTTTCCGCAGTGCCTGCAGTAGGCTACAATGTTAGATGGTGCATACCCCCTAAACCCTTCAGGGGTTAAACACAGCATTCTGCTTTGAAGCCAACCTCATTAGTGCTACTGAAGATAATTTAAATCAGTCACTACCATACAGGGTGACAGTGATCCCCTGCTGAAATGTAGTAAGCAGCAAGAGATGGTGTTTTGTTAAATTGTCAGTCTGCATGCCCAGTGCGCTGATCAGACATGGTTTAGGAACACATAATCCATGTATGAACATGGATGCTAAAATGCACCATCATGCAGAATCTGGAAGGTAAACCAGTCCAGCAGCAGCCTCTTTAAACACACCACAGAAGCCTATGAATTGACATGCTCTGGAAGAAGGCTATGTCCCTAATGAAGCATTCTTACAGTAGACTATTGGGATTGGAAGACTGGTGACCCTACGAAATGGCAAGGAAGGAGTTAAGTAAAAGTAAAAATAATTACTTGGATTATTCCAGTTATACAGAAAGACTGACACACAGTTAAATGAAATTTGCCTGCAGGAGTTCAGCTTGACATGGACAGCTTTATATTCCTCAGTGTTCAAGGCTTTCCAAAACATAGGGAAATGAAAAAAGGAAATGAAAGGTGTTGAGTAATCTAAACATTTTTTGTTTCTGGCCACTGTACTTGCTAAACCGGGATACATAAACTTCCTAAAGACTACACAATACTAAATTCAGCACAAACCCTATGCTATCTTGGCTAGGACTTTGCTGCTACCAAACCTAAAAAGGCAATACCATAGTGCAAGCTGTTACTAACTTCCAAGAAGTAGTTAATTCACATCAGAAAAACATAGATCTGGATACTAGAAACCAAAAGAAACCCAGATACAAAGCGACACTATTGCTCCTGTTAGCTGTTTTCCTGCACAGGCTGGCATTTCTGGAAGCAAGGTCTCCTGTTTACAAGGAGGAAATGATGCCTGGAGTGAAGTCAGATCAGCAGGGTGAGAACTGGAAGATTAAGCTCAGCTTCTCAAACTTTACAGCCACTGCTTGTTATATCACGTGCAGTAATCCACAGTAATCCATAGCGAGGGTTCTGTAACCACAGTTTTCAACTTAGAACAGCATCGGTAAATTCTGTCATTTTTCAATACTTAAGAACAGGCAAGACAAAACTTTCCATTTCTTAAGGCCAGCCACAAAAAAGCACATCCCAATCACTACTGCAAAATACACCACCTTGTTCCAAGGAGTTTGCATAAGGAATCTTTCAAAAGCATGTAGCAAACTCAGGATGTTGTTTGCAGTTTTGTTTCTTCATCAACCCTTACAAATGACACAGGCAGGATGAAATTTGATGCCAACTTTGCAAGTCAGGACAGTCAACTCTGCCTTCACTGAGTACTACAGGACTGCTTTCAATTCCCTGAAGAAACTGACTGATTAGGAAGAGGGACTGAAGCATTTCTAGTATTCATGTAAAAGGAACACAAGAACGGTCAAAGTATAATGTCAGCGACCCGTCTAGTTCCCCATCTGGCCTCCACCAGCGGTGAAGGAAAGAAGTAAGAAAACCTATTGAGGGTAGCTCTGTGAGAATTTCTACCCAAAACCCGCACAGCGGCCAGCTTTTGCCTTTAAGTACAGTGCCTAACAGCAGGCAGCACTTAGAAGAAGAGAAATGGGTACAACAAACTGATGCAGCAATACATTCAGTTATGACAAACTTCTAGCTATTTTAGTTAATTATTTAAACAGTCAATAATTTTAAACAAGTTTAAAGAAAGCTTCTTCAACATTTACAGCTAGCCAGTAAAGTAGGCAGCGTTTGCTCAGTACAGTTGCCCTCACCGCGAAATCTTTACCTTGAGAAGGCTGTGATCTTATCTCTTCTGGTGTTACAAAAGGCTGGTAGAGCTTCTGCATATTCAAAAAACAGAAAAATTCTGAAATACTCTCTTGGTTTAATAGGTATCTAATATACACATAGCAGTCAGAGCAATGGAGAGAGGCTAATACAAGGAGATGGTGGTGGAATTACTTAGATAAAGAATGTATTAAAGCTATAGTTTATAGATACTCAGTTACTGGAAATAGCATTCTGGTTAGAACAGTTAAGTTCACTGTAAACATGTCCCCAAAACCTGCTTTAGTTTGCAGAATTCTAATTATTAAAGCACGAGAACTAAGCTGAAACCCAGACATTTTGGAAGAAGCATTGCCACCTGCTGCACAACTGAGGAAAAAAGAGCTGCTTTGGCTTCTAAGGAGCCATTCACAAAAACAGTACACTTTCACAGAGGAGCAAACTTGAACAAATTGTACATTAAGACAAAAAGCTAAGAAAAAGAAAACTATTTAAATGACTACATTCTAGCCTTGAAGTTACTTATGCATGAATAAGAACACTCTCCTTCACAGACCAGGCTCTCTGGCTCTTTGGTCCTCTGTGAGTCTTCTGAGTTGCCATTAGTTAATTGTGACATGAAGTTAGCTAATAATAAATAATGAGTACAACTAATATTTAATTATATTAACAGTGGAATTAGAAGTAACTACCAGGAAAGAAGGAAACAAAGCAAAGACATGGGAACGTAAGTTACATCATCTGCAAGTTCATGTTTTTCTCCACTTCAGGAGCTGTCCCTCAACCTTCTTCAGCCAAAAACAAGTAGGAGGAAAGTTAATTATTCCTCCCTGTAGTTTTACCAGAGCAAATTTTTCACAGTTCACACATCTTCTTAACCAGTTTACAGTAACAGCTCCAGGCAGAAGAACTAACGTGGCTTGCATTATCCTCACACATAACAAAACTTATTGACTGAAAACCTACAGGATGATCTCTGGCTTTGGCAATTACAGGGAGATCACCACACTAAATGAGTGGTTCTCTCCAGATAAACTGCAGTTAATTACTGTGTCTTCTGCTCTTTATGCCTCAGAAAACACGCATCACAGGAGTGGCTAGGATCAAAAAAGAACATAAAAATTCCTCAATCAAAAGCAGAGAAACCACTAGTACCTTCGCAGAAGTAGCTGAGAGAGAAAAAAAAGCCACTTCGTTTACAGAGATAAATGAAAAACTTGCTATATTTTGCAGAAACTTCTAATTAAAATAGTCATCTAGTTGTGGTGGTGTAAATTTGAAGAGGTCAACAACAACAACAAAAAAGGTAGCGTGAGAGGCATTGTAAATAACTAATCCACTCTGGGACTCCGGTAAAACATAGTCTTCCTTTTGCAGAAAGATTAAAAGGTCTTGTTAAAGCTTGGTGTTATGCAATAGGGTTATTTTATTTTTTTGTTTGTTTGTTTTACATACTTATTGACAAAACAGAGATCACAGAAGGCAGTATGTTAGCAAATATCTGAGATTTAAGGCAAAGATATACCATGCACTTTTACTTACTGTAAATCATCTATGCCTGACTGAGTTATTTACTTTTGTCAATTTTAGTCCTCAGAAATGCAGTGCAGGCTCTTAAACAAATTTCTAAGAAAAAAAATCCCTGTCTTCTTTAGTATAGAATCATAGAATAGCTGAAGTTGAAAAGGGGCTCTGAAGATGGTCTAGTCCAACTCCCTGCTAAAAGCAGGGCCAACTAGAGCAGGTACCTCAGGACCTCATCCAGTCAGGTTTTGACTATCTCCAAGGATGGAGACTCCACAGTCTCGCTGGGCAACCTGTGCCAGTGTTTTGACTACCCTCACAGTCTTTTTTAATTTTTATTTGTAAATGGTTAAATGGAATTTCCTGCATTTCCATTTGTGCCCATTGCCTCTTATCCTTCCCCCCCCCCCCCCCCAAAAAGGCAGGCCCTAACGTGCAGGAAAGAAATTTAGCAACCAAGGACATGACTGGGTTGTTTAATGCCAGTAATTACTTTATACTCAGTGTCAAAAATCAGAGAAATTACTGCACCTATTCATTAATCCACATGACTTTTTTTTTTTTCTTCCTTTCTTTACTGAAAGTACTTACTCTGTGTAGTCATTAGCTCAGCAAAAAGTGCTTAGGAAAACATAGACATCTTTTAAAAAGACATCTTTTTAGAAGTCATATACTGTACATGAATGTATCTGTATGTATCATAACATTTAGTATTTCAACCAGCCTTCAGCCAAGGATTTCAGAAACATGGATTTGACAAGACAAGTAGGTGTATACTGGCTTGTAAATCCCGAGTCATCACGTCGAAGCAATCTGCTTAGGTAACTTGCTGAACTGTGCCACAGGCCCAATTCACTCACAGTCACACCACTTTGTAGGAACCCTCATTTTACTGAAGAACAAATTAATACAAAGAAACAATTTCATTATATGACAAAGAATCAAAAGCAGCTATGGGAAGGAGCTTAAAGGTCAGCATTTGATGATTTATTTCTTCAAGTTACATGTGGTCAGCAGCTACTATATGCAAAGGTTTTCCGAAAACCTTAGGTTACTCACCAACATCTCTTGCTCCGCTTTCATGGTTTGGATAGCATGCATCAGTATCTTTTTAGGCCACTGCTTACGCTTTGTTGTTGTCTCTACTATTAGTTCATCAAATTGATCTTCAAGAATTTTGATGCTGGAACCTAAAAATTAAAACACACGAAGTTATTGTACGAATTCTCCTACAATTTTTTTTTTTTTAATTTGAGACAAAGTTATATGCAAAAAGAAAGCTTTAGATCTGAAATAAGAAATCATGCATGATTATCAATGAAGATAAAGATATCTGTCTTGGATCTCTTTGTAAGGTGATACAGAAATTAGAGCACAACCTGATGTTGACTAGTTACTTTTGAATTAAGGGAGCCAGTGAGAATAGGGCAGGCAGGGAATGATTTGAGGAAAAACCCAAAAACTTATTTTTCTCTATACTTTCTGAATCTATAAAGAAAATCTCACAAAGAAATGGTTACCTTTTGAGATAATTTGTTTTTCAACTGAAGCAAAGCAAGATGCAGCAAGAAAAACTGTTTTTCTGTGTAATTTACAAGCATTAAACATCATCTCTCCAAACAGTAATTTAAAGCCTAACTCTTCTTATATCCTACAGAGCACAGATGTGCAGTTTAATTTTAAAATCCATCTATGAGTTTTTGACAATATACAATGCCACCTTAACGAAACACGGTTCCCGGAAATACTCTGCATCCTGAGGACATCTGTAATTACCAGTCATATGGAGTTTGCAAAAAACCCAAAACACGCCTGCTTTCAACACCTGAGGCCCAAGAGACTGTATCTGGTAGGAGCTAACTTTCATAGCTTGCTTCTCCAATTGTAAGTTTAGACTAAATACCTAGAACATATGTTCCTAACTGAAGCATTTTGACTATTGCTACGCTACTACAGGTACTCAGCTTCTTCAAGATTGCAATTAAACTTAACAATTTTAAAAGCTTAAGATAGTATTTCAAAACTGGTTTCAAAATCTAGTAAATGCCTGCACTATTCTGACATCACATGCCATCATTACAAACTATAAAAATTATAGTTACAGAACAATTAACCACTCCACAGAATTAACCACTCAATCATATCCTAACTGGAAGGTAGTGCATATTTCTGTATTGTTCCATCTGCACACTCCTGTAATTTTTCTCCCCGGTGGAGATTTGAAACACTGACAACAGTCTTGCTTTTTTATTTTTTTTCATTTGATTTTGTAAACTCCTTAGCATTTAAATTCACTGTCCCCACTAACGTCTTGAACACAACTTGAGAGCCATGCAATGTTTTCAATCTAGTGGTAAAGAATGGATTTTGAGCACCCTCTCTTGGTCAATCTGTGCAGAATCAGGTGATTGCAAACCTCAGAAAGGCAAAATCAGGGTTTTAAGAGTTTGTGGGTTTGTTTTGTTTGTTTGTTTTAGGATCACCATGAAATCATTTAAGTATAGAGAGGAAAGACTTGAGCCACTCATCAAGGTAAACACTGAAGGCACAAAATGCCAGATCACTTGGTGATCCAAACTGGATCAGAGATAGGCAAATGAGTAAATTTATGTCAAATTAAAAAGCACAATACAGTCCTTACACCTGCTTTACGCCAGTTGTAGGAAGATGACAGTACCTCAGCTGGCATAAAGTTACAGACTTGTGCAGACAAAGGCTAACTTACTGAAAATAACATCCAACTGGACAAAGTTTTCCTGTTAAGAAAATCCTCTTCTGAATTTTTTAACAAACTGGCATTAGTTAAGTGAGCCAGAATCAGTTCAGCATTTTGCATTGTGAGACCAGTGAATTTTTGACTTTGTAGTTTTATCATTCTAGAAATACAACTGCAGAAGCTTCCTGACCAAAAAAGAGTTCAAGGAGCTCTTTCTCCATAGCCAGTTCAATAGATCTGTATTTTCATCTTCGTGCAAGTGTAAAAAGCATCGAGTTACAGGCAAAGAACATCTAACGCTAACACAGACAAGCAAATGAATCGCACTGAAATTTTCTTTGGACACCAGACTACCAAGAATCTCTACTACTATTATTCAGAAAACAGTAATTATAAAAATATTGTCTATTACATATTTTACTGTATAGCAATAATTATAAACATTTACCTAACTTGTATATTAAATAGTAGCAACAGACATACTACTAGGGTCTCTTGATAGGAAGGTATCTTGGCCAATGTCCCTAGCATAAAATCACTCAGGCTGGAAGGGCCCTCAGGAGGTCTCTCCTGACCCAAGCCTCCTGCTCGCAGCAGGGTCAACACCCAGTTCAAACCAGGTTACTCAGGACTTTATCCAGTTGGTTCTTGGAAGTCTCCAGGCCTGGAGACTACACAAGCCCTCTGGGCAACTTTTTCCAATGCTCAATTATCCTAATAGTGAATTATTACTTCCTTCCATCAAGTCAGAACCTCCCTTTTCAATTTATGATCCTTGCCTCTGTGCGCCTCAATAAATAGCCTGGCTCCATAGTCTCAGTAACTTCCTTGTAGGTACTGAAGTCTGGCTTCTCTCCTCTGGACTAAACAAGCCCAGTTCCTTCAGTCTCAACTCATAGGGCAAGTGCTCCAGTCCCCTGGCTGTCTTGGCAGCCTCTGATGAAGTCACTCCACTTTATCAACAATTTGCCTCTACTGGGAAATCCGAAAATGAGTGCCCTACTCCAGATCGGCTCTAGCAAGTGCAGAGCAAAGGCAAATAATCACTTCTTTAGATCTACTGACTACACTCCTGCTAACACAATATATTAGGCTGTCTCAGGGTTAGCCCATCAGGAACCCCAGGTCCTTTTTATCCTGTAGCCCTGCAGGAGATCACCCTCTCCCAGAGTTAGGGCTTTGCTTTTTGTCCGTGTTGAATTTCATGTCATAAAGACATTAAACAGAATGGGTCCCAGAACAGACCCCTGAGGAACTCTGTAATCAGCCCTGAGGTGAAAGTACAAACCATTAAACGCTGCCTTCTGAGCCAGGATTCTCGCCTACCTAGACCATAACATCCTAGCTTGGATGTTCTGCGAGACTGTGTCGTTGAGTACTGGAGCAAGTCCAATGGAAGAATACCAAGAGGGCTGGCATCCAGAGTACATTATGTATGAGAACCAGCTGAGGGAGCTGGGTTTGTTCAGCCTGGAGAGGAAAAGGCTAGGGGATAATTTAACTGCTACCCTCAGCTATCTAAAGGGTGGTTCTAGAGAGGAGAGAGGCAGGCTCTTCTCAGAGGTGTGCAGCAGGATGAGAGGCAACAGATACGTTTCAGCAAAGGAAATTCCAACAGGCCACAGGAAAGAGAATTTTCACCATTGTGGCAGTCAAACACAGAAACCGACTGCCCAGAGAGGGCAGGATGCCTCCGGACTTGGATCCTGTGGCTGTGTTCTAGCTTTAAAATTACATCACCTTAGCCTATTCCATTAAATGTTTTATACTCCCTTTATTCTGATAAGAGAAGCTGATGACATAAAACATGCTCTTTCCCAACCTCCCAAACAAAAAACCCTGTTTTGAAATACCGACTTTCTAAAAGCTTGCTGTAGATTTTCCAGCAAGACAGCTGCCATTAAACTTAGTTAAACCTTTATTTTTCCCATGTTAATATCAGATACTTTGGGAGTCTCTAAGCTAGTTTTCTTCAGCAGTCAAGAGCAGATCCATTAAATTAGGCAGGCACCACACTAGTGATAGCTGGAACTTGTAGCTAAAGATCTACAAGGATCTTACGACCTGACTGCCATTACGGAAACTTGGTGGGATGAATCCCACAACTGGAATGTAGCTACTGATGGCTACAGGCTGTTCAGAAGGGACAGGCGAGGAAGGAGGGGCGGAGGTGTTGCCCTTTACATCAAGAAATCATTACAGTGTGAAGAGCTGACCCTGAAGAATAGCCACAAGCAGGTCGAAAGCTTATGGGTAAGAATCAGAGAGAGAGGCAACAAAGGGAACCTGGTGGTTGGTGTCTACTACAGGCCGCCAGATCAACAGGAGCCGACTGAC